ATTATCATTTATGTCATTTCACATGTTCACATATGCATATTACCTGGGCACGTAGTCTCATAGTTTTTGAACATAGCTCATTATCACATTTTCATATAATCACATAGTCACATAGTTCACTTACACGTAGATCATTTCTATATAATTCACATGTTACATATCTCAGGTTCTTGTATTCATATAACATATAATCACATTTATTCATGTATAGTATTTCATCTAAACCGTATGCATATGTGAGAACTATAGATATGTGAGTCTATAGAGGTTGTGCACTAATGCTGTCACCACAGCTCGTATAAATGCACCAAAGTGCCACGTAGAATTGCACCGTAGTGCCGCGTAGAAATGCACCGAAGTGCCATATAATAATGTCCATAAGGACCACATATCATTCCTTAAGAATCATATACATATACTAGGGATCAAGTATGTGTCTCACAAGACTTCACACATGTTCCAAAGAATATATATATGTCCCGAAGGACTGCATAGACCCTCGACTCTTGGCATGCCAACTATACCCCTAGCTCTCATGACACATAACATGGGCATTATCATTTATGTCATTTCACATGTTCACATATGCATATTACCTGGGCACGTAGTCTCATAGTTTTTGAACATAGCTCATTATCACATTTTCATATAATCACATAGTCACATAGTTCACTTACACGTAGATTATTTCCATATAATTCACATGTTACATATCTCAGGTTCTTGTATTCATATAACATATAATCACATTTATTCATGTATAGCATTTCATCTAAACCGTATAATAATGGCATACACTCATATCACCGAATAACTTCACTTGAATATATCTTTTGTTCATTTCAATGCTTAAATCATATAACACATAAGTTTTTCTTATGTCATTTATGCTACTTATTCATATAATCTTATGTTATCTCCTAGGTAAATGCTACCTAACTTGTCTCATTTTCCATTTATATCAGTTTAATCTATTTATTTAGTTAAATTTTACTTAAATCATATACCATAGTTATCTTTAAATATACTTCTTCTCTATAACACTTATCTTATAGTTTGACATCATCATTTATACTCAATTCCCTTCACTAATATATTATTCTCATATTACTCTATAGTCTAATCTTATTTAACTCATCACCCTTCTCCTGTATTCATATAAATCTATTATATTGATTCTTATAATTGATCACATTTACTATGTAATATGTATGGTCACCTATCATATAACCTATTTCACATTCTCATGTAATCATATAGATCATTCATATTAATTCCTATAACTTATCACGCTGCATGCATTCACACAAATAATTTAATACATACTATAATATATATATCACATATACCCAAATCAAACATATGCATATGATCATACATTCAGGCCTTCTAATATAGGAAATAGGCTTGGCGCAAGTCTTTTTTCCATTAAACATCATAAACTAACTTGTATGACCTCACCTGGCCTCACTAGTCAATTTCAATCTCTTATCTTTCCCCTTGATCGATCTTACTTGTCAATGATTCCGGAACTTGATTAGGCTCTGAATCTTATACAAGGCTTCACGGTGGAGAGGAGGAAGAAGAAGACTGAAGAATACTCTGGAGAAATTATCTCCTTTCCCAGGTTTTTATATCCCTTAAAAAGAGAATAAAAACCTTCTCTTGGAAAAGACCATAATACCCTTGTTATTTCCAAACTTTACCATTAAATCCAACATCAACTTTCTTCAATTAAATCCATGAACTTTTAACTTATTTCGAAATCGAGCACATAGTTTTTAAAATTTGTAATTTAGTCAATGACCCTGATTTGGGATGTTACATTTCGGCTTGTCAAAAACTGGCCCTACATTGGATCATACTCATGTGAGCACCGTCGTGAAGGTTAGCTTCGGTTATTTGGATCCTGAGTATTTCAGGCGACAACAGCTAACCATTAAGTCCGATGTTTTCTCGTTCGGTGTCGTCCTGTTTGAGATCATTTACGCTCGTCCAGCGTTGAACCCCACACTGCCAAATGAGCAAGTGAGCCTTGCAGAGTGGGCTCCTCATTGTCACAAGAAAGGCATCCTTGATCAAATCATGGACCCTTATCTCAAAGGAAAAATAGCACCGGAATGCTTCAAAAAGTTTACCGAGACCGCAATGAAGTGTGTGGTCGATCAGGGAATTGACAGACCATCGATGGGCGACGTTCTGTGGAACTTGGAGTTTGCTTTGCAACTACAAGAGAGTGCAGAAGAAAGTGTCAAGGGAATCAGTGGAATCGATGTGGAGGAAGGGGCCTACGACGACATAACATGTAAAGGCAAGAAAGATTGTAACACATCCATCGGTTTCGATGGTAACATCATGGATACTCGGAGTAGTGGAATGAGTATGAGCATCGGAGGTCAAAGCCTTGCTAGTACAGACTCCGACGGGTTAACACCCAGTGCCGTTTTCTCACAGATCATGAACCCTAAAGGGCATTAATTCAGAGCCGGCAACGGCGATACGACAAATATGCTCGTTGTTGTTACTCGACATCATCGGAATCGATTTATTTATTTGTTGTATTCATTTTATCTGTTAGCATATATTTGTTTTGATCAAATGTCAGGTGTTTCCTGAAGAGTATATGTTGCATTTCAAGCGATAGTCTCCTGCAATTGTGCATTGACAATTCATTTATAAACCATATATCCGTTTCTTCATTATACATCTACTAAATAAGGTTAGTTTCCGCTCCGTTATCTACTAATCCGAATCAAATATGGCAAAGATCGAAATAAGCTGGCAGAATGTGGGACAGAGAAACAGAGTGAGACAGTTGTATGTGTGGTGTATATATATGAAAGACGGCTAATGAGTTGTGGTACCAAACTTATAATGATATATTAGGTTAGGTGTGCCTTGAAATAAAGAAAGTGCTGCTTCATTTATTCATTTATTTATTCATACAAAGACAACCCATTGCTCATTGATGCAACCAGGCACTATTAAACATGAAGCATCACAATTTCACTTTACAGAATCTAAAATGGCGTTGATCTTCTTCTGCAACTCCGGCTTGTTTGCTCCGATGAGCTTGTCGATCTGTTGCCCCGTCTTTAAGAAAGAAGAAAGTAGGGGTCGTTTTTATATCCAATGCACTGCTGAGTTCCTGTATTACAGGATTGAATCATTTCTGTCTGAGGTCAAGTAGGGGTTTAAGTCGCTTTAGATTTGGATTCATGTCATTTCGGATTTGAGGCTCAGGTTTTCGGAGTCGGATTATTACAGGATTGAATTATTTCGGTTTCAGGTCTTCTTAAGCTTCTAAGAATGCAATAGCAATACACAAATCACGCACAATTGTAACAAATAGGAGGTCACAGTACACTTTTCTGTACTTACAGTTAGTTCATCAACATCCACCGACAAGAACATCAGAGAAGGATGCTTCTCTGGGATCTCTCGGTAAGATGGCGCCACCGTTCGACAAGGTCCACACCACGCTGAACTGAAGTTTGCAATTACCTAATGCAAAGGGACATTTGAGAAATGGTGGTCAGATTCATCAAACCAGAGTTACTACAGGCCTACAGCCCCGATACCTTGCCTGCAAAGAAAGCGATAAGAAATCACTTAAAATTTTGCCATCTCTCTTTGCTTCGGACAACTTCTGATCCCAATCCTCTTTGGAAGTCGTAGGCTGCACATTTTCGCTAACAAACTCGACATGCTGGTCAGAATCGGAGTGATCGTCAGACCCACTACAAGAATCACATCCTGAGACCCCCAGATTAGACCAGACCAAACAAGTCAAAGACTGCTTCACAATTAAAATTGGATCGAATCATCTTATTGAATCGCAAATCGATTAATTTCAAGAATCAGATTCTGGTACAATCATGGTAAGTTTCTTGGAATGCAAGGTGCCCTATAAACTGTATCTCGGGTGTCTGAAGTATAAACACCATGACAATTTCCTTTAGGAAAACATCCCCGTTGTTCTCGGAACAAAATATAAGACAAAGAACACATTCGACGACGTACAAAAAGCATAGGCATTCTTACACAATAATCGTCATCAACCCATCGAATACTTCTGGGTCCAGCTGCGTGTGGTAGCTTCGTACTTGGCCCGATCGTTCTTCTACATTCAGGGTTTGGATCAGAACGACGAGCACATGGATAGCATAGTAGAACCTGGTTTGCACTTGAGTTAGTATTTCTACCATGCATTCCAAATTTGAAACAAGCTATACTGATTTTATTATACATGACTCTAGATTTCTAAATGATGTAGTCTCTAATATATGTCACTTGGCATTTAAGCTAAAAGTAACATTAATTTTTTTAATATGAATAAGAATTTAATTATATTTTAAATTTATAAAGTAATTATTAAACTTCTCAAACAGTTATAAAATGATCATTAAATTTATCAAATTATTATAAAATAGTCTTTAAATTTATCAAAATTAATCACTATTTTATCATAAAGAGTAATAGTTTTGTAATAATTTGATAAGTGTAATGACTATTTTGTAATTTATGAAACTTAAATGATAAAAAGATCATTGAAACATAATTTAATGACCATTTGGGTGTACTTTACTAAAACAATTGTGAGGATAAACTATGTATTTATTACTTAAACTATTAGTTTTGGTTTATTTTAGTATCTAAACTTTTGATATCTTTCAAATCCATATCTAAATTTAATTTTTGTTTCATTTTAATATCTATTTAAATTTAACGTCAAGTTTTGGAGAAAATTGAAAGCTTAGGTACTAAAATATATCAAAATTGATAGTTTAAGTATTAAACACATTAAGTTTTTAATGGTGAGGTACTAAAATAAAATAAAAACTAAACTTTAGATATGATTTTAAAAAATTAAAAGTTTATATATTAAAACGGATTAAAATTGATAGTTTGGATATTAGATACGTAGTAGTTTATACTTTTTGTAAAGCGCGATTGAAATCCCTAAACGAGTTATTGGTCCTAACAAAACCCCTAAGGGGGAGAAGACAAGAGGAATTTCCACTGTCGAATTTCAACATCCTTTGTAATATTTTATTTAAAAAAAATCCCAATAAAACTTAATATTTTCTCTTCGTTGGATTGTATCTAAAAGGGAAAATGGAAGAAGAGAAGAAGAAGAAGAGAAACAAAAAGAAGAAGAACAAGCAGGGCAAAACCACCGAAGAAGAAGCAGATCAGATTCAAAGTAATAATGTCAGCAACGGCCAGAGCAGCGGCAACAATGCTCTGGATCTGGATACTCATCAGCCTAATATCGCTCTTGCCGTCAGTGAATCCTCTTTTTGTTCTTTATATTAGTTAATACTCAATTCTTTTTTCCTTTTCTTATTAGGAAATGATGGTCCAAATTTCATTTCTATTGCTATTTAATTTATATTCGAATTTGAGCTTGCAAATTTGCTAAGAATATTGATATTTTGTGGCATTTCTATTGTGAACACATGTTTGATTGTCATCACATAATCTTCTTTATCGTTAGGAGTTGTAATGTGGTAATATATTGAGCATAGATCTTCACATAATCCTAAAGAAAAATAGGATGATGTTTTTGGTGATGTATTGTTTTCTGCTTATAGAGTTCTGCGGACGAGATGATTAATGAGCTACGAAAAGAGAAGAACTACTTGTACAGAAAGAGGTAATATTGAGTCATATATTTATGGTAATAGACATTAGACAAGCATCTATTCTTTTCATCTGCACTGCATGTTTCATTTGTGTCTTTGCCTTGATTTTGATTGTCATCCATAACACAGGCTAACCTTTAACGTTTCTACAGGCTATTTTGCAAGAGAGAATTCAACACTTGCGACATGAAAATGAATCACACCGACAGAAAGAGGTTAATTCGATGTTATCTCGGAGGAAATGTTTTGTTTAAACTTGAAAAAGTTTCCCTTTTTTCTTTCATTTGTGTTATGAAGTCCCTCTCTTTTATTTTTGTATAGGCTACCTTAGAAGAGACAATCAAGAAGTTAAGAAATGAATTTGATTCCCACCTAAAGAAAGAGGTAATGTGTTACAAATCTAATTGTATGTATCAACTGAAAACTGTTCCCTGAAATTGCACTCATCTCTCTCTGTGTGTGTATAAAAGAAAATTGCTGTTTAGTTTGATTATGTTATGATATTTGTTGTGATTTCCCCCCTCTTTCTGTGAAGTACGAGTGACTCTTTATTCTTTTAGGTTTCCTTAGAAGAGTCCGTCCAGAATTTACAACATAGAAATGATTCACACCTAAGGAAAGAGATAATTAGGTTTTAGCCACTAAAATTCTGTGACCTTTTCATACATAAAGGATGGCTTTACCTGTTTTCTATATAGATGTCTTTATACAAAAAAAAATCTGTTGTGGTTTAAACTTCTCTATCTTGAAGCACAAAGTAATCCTTTGTCTTCTTGCAGGCTTCTTTAGAGGAGACAATCCAACAATTACAACATGAAAGTGAATCACTGATGCAGAAATGGTAACATACTAAAGTTCTGTTTTTCATTTTTTAGGGTACAATATAGAACATTATAAAGTTAAAATGTATTGAAAATTGCATACTTTTTAGTAGAAGGCTAACAATTTCCCTACTTTTATTTAAATGTTCTTATTCCTTTCTTGTATCCTTTCTCTCTTGGTAACTGCTATAGCTCATGAGACAATTTACAGGCTGGTTTAGGGATGAATGTCATTGGACTTCAAAATGAAAAAGAATCCTGGCTTCAAGAAAAGGTAATTTAGGCTGATAGATTATTACTTAAGGATGACATCTTTCAAATTTTTTTCCCTTATTCATCTTTGTTCTTTAATGACAAATGAACTTCCAATAAAGCATCTTTCTTTTTCTGAATCCTTATCGTTGTTGTTTGGAGGATTTTTGGATATTTTGTGATGTATTTGGTAATTCAATGTCATGCGACTTGCAGGCCAGCTTAGAAGAGAAAATCAGTCACTTGCTGGATGAAAAAGCTGCTCTGGATCTGAAAAGGGTAAATTTTCTCATATTAGTTGTTTTATGCCTGTCTTTTAGTTTTTGAATGTTTTATGGGTATAGGCATAGTCATTCCTACAACTTTGTGATTGGGATCTTAAAAACGGTTGGTTAATACGTGCAGGCAAACTTGGAAGAAAATGTTAGACAGCTGGAGAAAGAGAAATACACTTGGATTCTGACAGAGGTAGTAGATTTTACTCTTATAATAGTGTCAATAATGCATTTTATTGGTAGATGGTGATCTGTTGGAAGTAAGAGCCTGGAATCTAATTAGATTATATACTGTGTCAAGGCCTTTGTGTGATCTGCATATATGATTTTCCTGGGATCTAATTGGATTCTATACTTGAGATTGGATTGAACCTATGTTACCTGGAACGCGATCGGTCCCTTATGATGAACAAAAACCGGAAAGTAAGGCGCTATTTGTTTGGTACGTAATTCAATAGGGATAGTCTCCTTCGGTTTGTTTAGTAGGAATGAAATACAAGTTTTTAGTTTGTTTAGTAGGAACGAGATATGACTTATTGAAACACAATAATTGTTTATATTATATAATATATATTTTAATTTAATTAAAAATAATATAAATTTATGCAATTTACAGATAAAATATCTAATTTTCATAAATTTAACAATAAATGAAATACTACGTAATAACCAATAATATTTAATATAAATGTTAACACAATGACATCAAATTATTCATGCAACTGCCAACTGGCAAAGCATAAGTTGTCTAAACTATCGAAGTTGGTCATGAAGTGTTTGACCAGCCCTTAGTGTGGAGCTTTAGAATTGAGCAGTTGACTAGTCTTTGAAAACTAAATAGGATCGCTAAAGTAATCTAATTGGATCACAAGCAAATTGCGATTTGGAACACTAGTAACTGATACATAGTTCGTTGGGTGTTAAGCAACTTGTGGTAACATTCGATTGAAGTATGAATGGTGTCAAACTCTTTTTTACACAATTTCCCTTTTGAATCCTTTTTTAGGTTCTTTTGTTTGCAGCGGAAGTCCATTCCTTGTTTTCTTCATCTGCATCTGCATCATTAGACCATAATAGTCAATTTGGTTGTACTTATTTTAAACATTCAATGTTTACAGAATTCTACCAAACAATCGATTTCTAGCCTCAATCGTGATATTACAAGACTAAAAATGCAGGTACAGTATTTTCACCCACATGCTTTAATGGCTTCTGTTTTCTTTTTACTGGTTATTGGACTCGGTGGCACGATTAATCCTGTATTTGGTTGACACTACTAATATAAATTCATTCTCAATTGTTAGTATAGACAACTAAGTGCTGCAGATAAGTCGGCCTTTTTTGCAGTGCAACTCTTTATTCTGATGTGGATATTAAAACAAAGCTTCGCAGGTGGTTGAGTTGGAAGAATCCAGAAGTGAGCTTTCACGAGAAAATCAGCACCTTGCAGAAAATATATCTAGCATGCAGTTACATATACAAAACCTCGAGAGGAACATTACCTCCAGTCCTCCATTTGAAGGCAATAATAACAAGGTTTGCTTCCTTTTTTAACTTCAATTTTGCTCCCCTTTTCTCTAGCGTCTTGGCGATTCTGTTTCTAGTTGAAGCAATATATGAGGATTCATGATATATACTTGGATTTGGCTCTATGTTTGTTGTTGTGGGAGGTTTCCTCTGTGGTTCTGCCAAAAGTTGATCGAAATTTCGAAATATGAAAACGTTTGAGCAATTAATTACTTAGCAATTAAAGGTTATAATGTTTGGAGCTTATATATCTGAAGAAATTTAGGCAGAGAGCGCAATCTAGCTTACCAGTTTTCTCTTATGTAGCTAGCTTCTGGCTACGAGGACCTTAAGTCTCAGATTGAAGCAGCAAGTGTGTTTGTCGAAAAACTGGTCATGGAGAATGCCGAGCTTGTTCAGAAGGTGCCTTTTGGCCTGCAACAGACTGATTTACCGTTTTCTATTAGTTTTCCTTTTAGTACTAATATCCATGTTGTGAATTTACGCAACTCATTTGCAGGTGAATGAGTTGTACGTCAAGCTTGAACAACAAAGCAAGGCAGGGGGACATTCTAAGGTCATTGAGATGCTTAATCCTGTACCGCAATCGCTCGAGAATGGCTCTGTATTGTATCCAGAGTTGGATTCTGCAGAAGCTTCTCCAATTACGAACGAAGAATCGAACATGAGAATGTGGATGTGCAACCTGCTGCTCCTTTTCCACGCAATGTAGAACCTGAGGTCTCGGAAGAAATCGTGCAAATTCCTCTCGATGATACTGATGTAAGGAATTTGGAATCCCGGAGTATTGCTGGTGAAGAAAACGCTGTGCCACTCACCGATGCTCCCCTGATTGGTGCTCCATTCCGGTTAGTATCATTTGTCGCTAGTTATGTTACTGGTGCTGACCTGGTTAACAACACCTGAAGCTCGGACTCGTAGTGTAGATGCATTTTTTCATACACTATCTGTTATTCGTTTAGTGGCCGCAACGTTGTTGTTTCGACAACGGATACCGATGAATGTTATCTGCGGAGAGGGAAAATACTGTTTTCTGTTTATGTTTGGTGTGTTTCTGTTTACCGTAGCCGACACATTCAATAACATAGTTTAAGGCCTTGCGACGTAAAGCATACCATAGCACAATTTACCGTTCTGTATATCTGTTTATTTTTTTAGGGTTAGTGTATCTTTTAGCCCATTACTTTGGTTTTGATCTATACTTTGTCCCTTGATTCTTTTTTTGGGTGCAATTTGACCCCTGATTTTGGCTTTAAACTACAGTTTGCTCTGACTTTTTTGTTAGAGGCAACTTGACCCATGTCTTTGGCTTTGATATGCAATTTGGCCCGTAATATTTTTTAATACAAATTTATCCTTAATTAAACGTTTAAATTTGTATTAAATTAAAATTTAAAATATAAATCTTTACACTTTATATCATGTGTAATTTAGAAATAAAAATTGTAATCATTATTTTAAGACTGAAGAAAATGTAGACTGGGTCAAATTGTATATCAATGTCAAAGTCAAGGTCAAATTGCACAAAAGAAAATCAAGGGGCAGATTGCTTAGACACCACTTTGAGAATGACTGTCGAGTTCCATTCTCAAAGTGGTGTAAAGAAATAGAACATTGGTTATATAGAAGGTGATAATGGTGCATGATGATATCGCCATCAAATGAAGAATTGTTTAAATACCAAAGGCATAACGCAAACAAATACCCCTAACGTTTCATACTATATGCATTTTTACGCGTATTTTTTTGGAGTATTTATACCCATAACGTTTAAATATGAGTCAGAAGTCCCTCCGTTGGATGGAAACCGTCAGTCAACTGACAATCAACAGGTCCATCTGACTATGCATTCACAGGTGGACAGTGATGACGTTTCCATGTCACTATTATATGTTCACGAGGAATTGACATGTTAGCATTTTTTTTGTTTAAAAATAAAATTTAAAATTAAAGTTTGTACCAGTAGGAGATTGACACGTGTTAATTCCACGTCAGCATATAATAGTGACGTGGAAATGTCATGTCATCATCGTTGTCCACCTGTGAATGTTTAGTCAGATGGACTCGTTGACCGTCAGTTGACTGACGGTTTCCATCCAACGGGGGACTTCTGACTTATATTTAAACGTTGTGGGTACAAATGCTCAAAAAAAAATAATACGGGCAAAAATGCATATAGTGTTAAACTTTAGGGGTATTTGTTTACATTATGCCAATACCAAAAATCAAAATTTAAATTTTTACTTAAATAAAGAGATGTTTTTATGTAGGGGTGAACAAAATTTGATTCGGCTTAAAATTTGATCTCTCTTATTTGATTCAATTATAATTAACATTGAGTCGTAATTTCATCGACTTGATTTGAATTTTTTAATAATCAGTTGATTGATTTTCAGGTTTCAGTCGAGTTCATCGGCTCTGTATGATATACATATATCGCATATGAAAAAATATAAATAAACATGTGTATTATATATTATTATAGAAAATCGTTTAAATTAAAATTAAATATCATAATATTATAAATATTTATAATTAAATTTAAACAAAAACTCAAATAACTTAACTAGATCCATTAAAAAAATCATATTATAACATTTCTAAACTAATACGAGACGTGTACATGAGAGTATTTGGCGACTATTATTACAATTAGTTAAGAGAATTAAATTTCCGTTCTCTTAAGGATATTTGGGACTATTATTACACTTGGTTCTAAACTAATACGAGATGTGTACACGACGCTGAGGAGGATTCAGCAGCCGCACCACCGCCGGCTTAATCTCAATCAGAAATCAAGAGAAAAGCCGCCAGAGATACCGGAATCTCAATAATAGTGGTTTCCGTTAGTCGTCAAAGAGCGGAGGCAACAAAATTTACTAAGAAAAACGAAAAACCATTGCCATCTCTGTGCTTCTCCTCTGAAAGCCGTAAATAATATCTTCATTGTGGTCCAATTTTCCAAATTAAAGAAATAACCATCGCGGCATTATAGGCGAGGGAAGGAAGGAAATGAAAGGTGGCGGTGGTGGCGGAGTTGGTCCCGCGAAGCGGCAATGGAGAGGTCTGGCAATTGGCGTTCTCTGCCTTGTGATTTTATCAATGCTGGTTCACCTTGGATTATTGCTTGGCCTACACAATGGATTCCACTCTCCAGGTACCTCTTATAAAATCTTTTATTCTTTCAGATCTGTTTTCGATCAGGTCATTGTATGCAATCGTGAGTTGCATTTGTAGATCTAGATTTCACTCGGTCTTTTTCTTTAGTAATTCGAGGCAGATCTCTCATTGTACTCATGTATGCTCTACTCGTTGGCTTATCGCTTATCATTTTCATTTGCGCTTTACCTATGCCTACAGGATTTGTGCCTCTTCAACAAAGTCCACCTTCGGTAAGCAGTTTGTTTTCCTGATTCTATGGAAAATGTATTATTTTATCCAAAAGAGAAAGAAACATATAAGTTAAAGTAGAAAATGAGGTGATCAAATTTTATCTTCTGAAAAAAAATTAATTTAGTAGTAATAATTAGTGCTTTCAATTTTTTGATAGGGGGATCGTACAAGACATGTAGATAACCTTGTCAGAAAATTAGGACCTACCCCGCCGAAGGTTGGTTTTTCCATGGCTCTTCTTTATGTATGTATTGTTTCTGAAATATGCTGTGTCTTTCATTTCCTTTTCTTCTTGCACTTTCCCTATATCATTTATGATTGGTGTTGATGAGGCTTGAGTTTTTGCAACGGAATTATAAAATGGTGATCAAGTGACCATTCCCTTGTGTGTGTTGTAGGTTTTTTGTGTTCTACATTGGTTTTTAGAGTTGACATAACTCTGATTATTATATTGTGTTCTGTAATCCATGAATAACACTAAGAGAAGGGAATCACTCTCATTTTGTAGTCTCTATCATTTTAGTAGTTGATCCCTTGATTTTAGTCTCTAACTACTGAACACATGTTTGTAGTAGCATCTCATTTTATCCATTAATTTGCAATCTAATGTAAACACCTTAACCTGTTTAAACGGTTAGCAGTGAAGCACCTTAATAATTAGTGCTGAACCTTTATCTGTTATGTTATTAAGGTGCACATTATCCTAGTGCCTTGTGACTCCTGTTTAGACTTATAAAAGTACCTGTTATGCGTGTAGTTTGATCATGATCTTTACTACCATACTGCAGCAGCCTATGGTTATATGTATGCATGTTTTTAACTCTTTCTTTTCACTTTAGGATATTCTTAAACACTTTGTACGTGAAGAAAGAAATGAAACCAGCAGTACAAATGCCACACGTAAAAGTCGGCAGATGAAAGGTCTGGTTGAACTCTTCTTAACCGTGCCTTGGATAATTAACCATTCCCTTTTATTAATTTTCAGTCTGAACCTTTTCTTTTAACATTCAACAGGATTTTCCAATTCCGCCTCAAGTTGTGCTGCAGCCATCCGGCAATAGAAATGTACGCATATTGCTGAAAGTTTGCATGTGCTTTAGTAAATTCTTTTAGTGCCATGTAACATCTCTAAATAATTTGATTTTCTTTAACAGATTAGTATAGATATTTTTAAAACAGGAATGAAACGTGGTGTTGATGAAAATGTGGGATTATGTGAGTTGAAATATGGAAGCTACTGCACTTGGCATGAAGAAAATAGGGAAGACATGAAAGATTCCACAGTGAAAAAATTGAAGGACCAGCTTTTTGTAGCCAGAGCATATTTTCCCAGTGTCGCAAAAATGCCAGCCCAGAACAAGTTGTCTCAGGAACTGAAACAAAATATTCAAGAACTAGAGTATGTCCTTAATGAAAGTACTACAAAAGCTGATCTTCCTCCGGGGTAAGTTATAGTGCATTATTCATGACTTCATAAAATTCCATGAACAATATTTCAGAGTCTAGCTTTTATTTTGTTCTGAATCTAGCTTTTACGGTGGGCAGTTTACCTGAAATCGTTATCATTAATTCTCAATCTTAAAGATTTCACAGAGTGACCTCAACACCATTGTGAGTAATATTATGTGCTTAGGTCCCGCAGTCCCCCCCCCCCCCCCGCGGAGAAAAAAAGAAAAAAACCCTCTCATCTCTCTCTCTCCTAGTCTGTCCTTTTGGCAGATTGGTTGAGTAAATAGCAGTCGCGGAAAACTTGTGTTCTTTTGAATAGCTAGAATGTTCATAATTCTTGCTTCAGTACCAAGTCTATTTTACTGGTTGGTATCAGGATTATAGAGAAGTCAGTAAGGATGGAAGCTGCCATAGCCAAAGCCAAATCAGTCACTGCAGATTGTAATAATGTTGACAAGAAATTGAGACAAATATTTGACCTAACTGAGGATGAAGCTAATTTTCACATGAAGCAGAGTGCCTTCCTCTACCGACTTGCAGTCCAGAATATGCCTAAGAGCCATCACTGCCTGTCAATGAGATTAACTGTAGAATATTTCAGAGACGATTCATTTGATAAAGAGCTGACAGAAAAATACTCTGATCCCACATTACAACACTATGTTATATTCTCCGGTAACGTCATTGCATCATCAGTAGTAATAAACTCAAGCAGGGTTTTAAAAAACGGTCCGCGACCGCGATTTCGGCCACAATATAGCGGTTTCGCCGCCGTCCGAGTTACCCGCGACGGCCGCAATAGCGCCCGCGATGGCCGCAATCACGGTAAATCCGAAATAACCGAAAACGCGACCGCGACCGTGATTTGAAACCCTGAACTCAAGTGTTACGCATGCAAAGGTATGTCGTAGTCTTTCTTTGATATCGTTTCATTGTTCTTTACCACAGCTCTAGTGGTGGGACTGACTGGTTATCCTGCAACATTTCAGAACAGTATGAACCGAGTTTTTCACGTGCTGACTGATGGACAGAATTACTATGCAATGAAATACTGGTTCCTCAGGAATACATTCAGGGATGCTGTAGTTCAGGTGCTGAATATCGATCATCTTATTCAAGATTACTCCGATAAAACAACTCTACCTCACCTGAACTCACCTCTGGAGTTTCGAATTTCCTTTTACAGCAGTGGTAACGCACCAGCAATGCATAATAGAACAAAATACTTATCAATTTTTTC